GGGACAATCAGTTGTCCCTATAGAAAAATAAAACAAAATTAGATCACTCCTCCAAATCATACATACAAATAAAGCCAGAGGGAGAAAGAACCTAGATGAGGAAAATGAAATTTTAAAAACTGTTAGAATATGGTAAAATGTAAATGAGTGTTAATACTGGGTAGCAAGTACACGAGTACTTTTTTTTCCAATATCCTTTACACATGCCGATGGGGTTTTTCCTATTTTAAAAGAAGTAGAAAATAAGTGGTCAGGCACAGTGGCTCACGCCAGTAATCCCAGTACTTTGGGAGGCTGAGACGGGCAGATTACTTGAGGCCAGGAGTTCGAGACCAGCCTGGCCAACATGGTGAAACCCCGTCTCTACTAAAAATACAAAAATTAGCTGGGTGTGGTGGCACATGATTGTAATTCCAGCTACTTAGGAGACTGAGGCAGGAGAATTGCTTGAACCCAGGAGGCAGAAGCTGCAGTGAGCCGAGACTGCGCCACTGCACTCCAGCCTGGGCGATGGAGCAAGACTCTGTCTCAAAAAAAAAAAAAAAAAAAAGAGCCTGTAATCCCAGCACTTTGGGAGGCCGAGACGGCGGATCACGAGGTCAGGAGATCGAGACCATCCTGGCTAACACAGTGAAACCCCGTCTCTACTAAAAAATACAAAAAACTAGCCGGGCGAGGTGGTGGGCGCCTGTAGTCCCAGCTACTCGGGAGGCTGAGGCAGGAGAATGGAGTAAACCCGGGAGGCGGAGCTTGCAGTGAGCTGAGATCCGGCCACTGCACTCCAGCCTGGGTGACAGAGCGAGACTCCGTCTCAAAAAAAAAAAAAAGAAAAGAAAAGAAAACAGGCAAAATCATGGCACAGTGGGGGTTGGGGGCTTATTATTAAATTGTAACTGATCGCGCCACTGCACCCTAGCCTGAGCAACAGAGTGAGACTGTCTCAAGAAAAACAAAACAACAACAAAAAAATTGTAACTTATTCAAGTATCCAGGGAACTGGGTGTGGGGGGAGCCGCAGAGGGTTACCCGAAGGCTGACAGCTCTACGCTTACCATCCCCAAGCCCACTACCCCCTGATGTGTGCCCCTCAACAAAGTTCCCAGAACAGGGAAAAGGACTCTGGAGTTTGTCCTTTTCAGAACCGCAAAATCAATTTTGACCGAGAGAAGGGCCTGGTGGAAGTGATCATCCAGAACTTGTCTGAGGAGGACAAAGGGTCGTACACTGCTCAACTCCAAGACGGAAAAGCCAAAAACCAGATTACCTTGACACTGGTGGATGACGGTCAGCCCCGCCCTGCCCCGCCCTGCACACCGGCCTGCCCCACAGCCCTGAGTCCTCGGCTCTGCAGTCTGCTGAGCACACCCCTCGCCTTCTGCTGCCCATGTCCCCTCTCCAGACCCACACTCTTCTGGGCTCATGCTGGTTCCTCCCTTTGTGTTCACAGATTTTGACAAACTTCTGAGGCAGGCAGATGCTAAGAGAAGGGACTGGAAGAGAAAACAGGGTAAGAGCTGCTGGAGTGAAGTTCAAAATCCCTGGCCACTGGTTCGTGCTAGAGGTGCTGGACTGGGGGTTAATGGGACCCCCAGCCCTGCTGGGCCCCCAAGGGATGTCCACTGCCATTCAGTCCAGTTTTGTCCCAATGCCGGATCAAAATAGCTCTTGCCTGACCTGAGGGTGAGAACTGAGCCCTCTTAAATTTTGCACCCTGAAGCCAGACACAGTGCCTCATGCCTGTAATCCCAGCACTTTGGGACGCCAAGGTGGGCAGATCACTTGAGGTCAGGAGTTCAAGAACAGGCTGGCCAACATGGTGAAATCCTATCTCTACAAAAAATACAAAAATTAGCCGGGCGTGGTGGCACATGCCTGTAATTCCAGCTACTCAGGAGACTGAGCCACAAGAGTCCTTGAACCCGGGAGGCGGAGATTGCAATGAGCTGAGATTGCGCCACTGCACTCCGGCCTGCGCGACAGAGCGAGACTCTGTCTCAAAAAAAAAAAAAAAAAGAAAGAAAAGAAAAGAAAGAAATTTGCACCCTGAGCACCACCCTTGCCTCACCCCAGTCCCAGCCCTGGCAGGGGCAGCATCTGAGAAGCCCATAGCCATTAACTGCCCCTCCCCCCATCACTGCCTGGACACAGGTGGCACCCTGGCTGAGCCTGGCTCTCTGATGGTGGGCATATTTGTTTTGCACACACAGGTCCCTATTTTGAGCAGCCGTTGCAGTGGAAGGTTACAGAGGACTGCCAAGTGCAGCTGACGTGCAAGGCAAGTCCTGCCCTGCCCCCAGGCCCAGCACGGGGGGACCTGTGGCTTATCCCCAAGCCCAGTTGTTGTCCCTGCCCACCTGGCCCCCTAAATTCCACACTCTGTACTTGGCTGATCGCACACACAGGAAGCCCCCGAGGAGACTGCATGTAACCCAAAAAGCAAACCCACCTTCCCAGCGCCCATGGGGTGGGATTAGTGTGAGGTGGACCAGCCTCGCATGAGATCCTAGTGGCCCCAGCAGGGGTTCCGAGGGGTCAGGGGGTCTAGGAGCCTGCGAGCGTTTGTATGTTGAGGGTCTCCCTGTGTTTATGATTATCCTGTGCTTAGAGACTCACAGTATGATTTCATCCACCTCACAATCGTCTGTGACATAGGCATTGCTATCCCCACTTTATAGATGAGAAAACAAATGGGGAAATAGCTCAAGGCCACACAGGAAGAGGGAGAGCCCAGTCTATCTGACTCCAAAGCCTAAAGTCCTTCTTAGCACCCTTCGGCCTGTTGAGATAACTGGGGAAGGGGAGGGTGGGTGCTCTCCCAGAAGCATATCCATTCAGTAAACTCAGAGCATCTATTACGTGCCACTCTGCAAGGTCCTGAACATACAAAGATGATGAAGTGGTCTCTGTGGGCCTTGGGAGCCCGTGGTCAAGGCAGGGCCACTGGAAAACAGCATCACTCATGCTTGACCCAAATGGGGCAGGAAATTGATGAATCGTGATGGGGGGTGACTATGGGGTACTTCAAAGAAAAGGCTTCCTGGAGGAGATGACATTTAACTGAAGCATATGAACATTTACAAGGACAATAGAGTAGGGCAGGGATCAAGAGGCAGAGGGAAAACCATTAGCAAGAATTCAGAGTCCGGAAGCCAGCAGAGGAGTCATACGGTATGTGAAAGGACTCGGCTGAGATGCCTGAAGGTGTGCACAGGTGTGTTTTTACTCAAAAAGAAACAAACCTGACAGTCTCCTCTTTCCCCACCTTCCCCAGGTGACAAACACCAAGAAGGAGACTTGCTTTCAGTGGTTCTTCCAGAGGGCAGAGCTGCCAGATGGTCAGTATGACCCAGAGACGGGAACGGGACTTCTCTGCATCGAAGAGGCAAGTGTGGCTCCAGCTTCAGGGCTCACTTTCTCCTTTGGCTGCAAGCCAGGGAGGGCCAAGAGCTCGGGGCTGGGAGTCAGAGGCAGGGCCGAGGCTAGGTTGAGGCAAGTGAAGCCCTGAGCACAAAATTTAAGGGGCACCAAAAAAACTCAGTAATCAAGATAAATAATATTGTATGCAATATTCTAAAAACTCAAAATTAATGCAAACAAAAACTATTAAAACCCCCAAACTTTCAATAGAGACAGAATCAGTATTACTGGTTTTTTTCTTTAGCTCCAGTACTGGCCCTGCCAATGACTGTGCAGGCTTGGGCTAGCCCCCGTCCCTCTCTGACCTCAGCTTTCATCTGCAACCTGAGTGAGTTGGAAGGGATGCTCTCTCAACACCTCCTTCCTGCCCCAGCAGTCTAGGATTCAGGACAGGAAGGATGTCTCCAGGGGAGGCAGATCTGGGCAGAATAAAGCAGGCCTGGAGCTCAATTCTCCCCCCAAGTCCTCCCCTATGGCCTTTGGCGGACCGTGGCCTGGTTAAGAGAGAAACACAAGGCTTGCTCTTAAACATCAACCTTTTTCTGCCCTGCTGCTGATGTCTGTGGCCTCACTGGGTGCCCAGGAGGACTGGAGCAAACAGAGGTTTGCTGACTAGGAAGAAAACAATGATTTCAAGGTCTTCTCCCAAATCCTGGCCAGGCTGATGCCAAGTCAGCCTTTGCCACCACTGTGCAAGCTCCTCAGACAGGCTGTGGCACCAAGTAGGTGCTTCATAGTTACGGAGTTTTAGTATAATCATCAGTCCCATTGGTGCAAAGTTTCTGGCCTCCTACGAGTTACCTCCCTTGATCCCCACAACAGCTGTAGCACACAGGCAGGGCAAGCATGATACCGTGATTTTACTGATGAGTAAACTGAGGCTCAGAGAGTTTCAGTGTAAAGACATAAGGCTAGAGGGTGGGGTCAGAAGCCACTCTAGCCACCCACTCTGGGTTTGGCTGAGACCTTGGAGCCTTCCTGGGATGGTGAGGACATAAGAGAGGATTTTTGGGGCTCAGCACCTCAATCCTCAGGTTAAGAGCTGCCTCTGTCTTGGATCCTGCGCCAACCCCACTGTGTGGAGATGGTCCTGCCGGGAAGTATTGAGAGGTGAGGGACTGAAGGAAGGTGCTGTGTAATAAGAGGTCACTTCTGATCTCTGGACCTTGCCTTGAAAGCACAACTCAGGTTCTTGCTTTGCTGAGTGTTTGTTCAGACTTAATTTGGGGCTGAAAAACATGGGCCAAAAGAACCCCCTTGTCCTGGGCAGGAGAAAACGTGCTTCCTCTTGGGGAACTGCAGGTGGTGGGGGTCCCTCCATCCAGGAGCCCCCAGGGAGTGAAAGGTGGGCCAGGCCCTGACAAGCTCTGCAAAGTGAGGCTCACTGTGTGGTGCTCAGATCAGCTGCCTGTGAATGCAAATGAAGGTGTCTGGTTCTGCCCTCAACTCCCCCTACTCCACCCCTTCCCCAGGCCCAGACAAGCCCCGAGCTAGGAATCCAAGGGCTCTGGAGCTGAAAGGAGCCTTAGGGCTCACCCAGCCCAGATAAGTAAACGGAGGCCCAGGGAGGAGAAGGGTCTTACCTGAGGTCACACAGAGAGTGAGGGGCAGGCCTGGAGCCCAGGCCTCCTGGTTTGGTAGCCATCTCTCCTTCTGAAGCCCATGCTGACACCACCGTTGCTCATCCTTCTTTTCAGTTGTCCAAAAAGGACAAGGGAATTTACAGAGCGATGGTTTCTGACGATCGAGGGGAGGACGACACCATATTGGACCTCACGGGTGACGGTAGGAGCTGGCGATGGGTCAGGGGCTGTGGAGGGAGCACAGGGGATCAGACTGCGATGTGATCTGTGCAGTAAGATTTATGGGATCCCCATGTCACTTGGCGAAATTGAGGCACAAAGAGATTAAGTGACTAGCCCAGGATTCCACAGCTAGTCAGTGGCAGGAGCCAGGTCAGTGTGACTCTGATGCCCGTGTTCACCACAGTATACCACAGTGAGTCCAGGCTTGGAGACCCAAAGCCTGAGTTCACTCCTCCGTCCCACAGTGGGCCCAGGCTCCTTATCAGGCTGATTGGCTCAACCTGCAAAAAACTGTCAGGTTTGCATGTTTGTCCTCCATCCATAGTGCCCTTCTCCCCACCCCACTGCCGAGTGCCCTGAACCCCTTCCTATCCCCAAACTGTGAGAGTCATCCTACAGAGCTGCCTGTCCCCCTGAGAGCAGCTCATGGAGCTCCCCCAGCCTTTTTCAAGGATGTCCCCATTCCTAGCACATCCCTAGGGGAGCCCTATGCCAGCTAACCCTTCTCTCTGTCTCCTTCCAGCCCTGGATGCCATCTTCACTGAGCTGGGCAAGATTGGTGGTAAGCAGCTTGCCTTTTTGCCCAGACCCGCCCTGACGCCCAACAGCCTCCAAGCAGCCTAACACTGGCCTTGGCTATTGGGGGTGGGTTTAGTTTCCAACCTCAAACACTGAAGAGAAAATCCTGCCTCTTCACAGCACTGCATTTCCCCTACAACACCTACCCGCCCCCCAGGGCAGAGTCAGACAAGCTGGCCCCTAAATCTGATGCCTAAATGGCCTCAGGGAAGACTCATCCTTCTCCTCTGTCTCCCCAGCCCTCTCTGCAACTCCACTGAAAATCCAGGGGACTGAGGAAGGGATCCGGATCTTCAGCAAGGTCAAGTACTACAACGTGGAGTACATGAAAACCACCTGGTTCCACAAGTAGGTCTGCCTTGCCCCAGAGCCCCAGCCAGGCTGGAAAGGATTCAGCACCTGACCCATGGGGGCCTCCCTCCCTTCTCCCTGCCCGGTCCTCCAAGCAGAGCCCCATCCCAGTGGTTGGCAGAGACAGGGTCTCTTCCTGGTCCTGCTGTCCACAGAAGGAGTTGAGGATAGAGATTAGCAGTGGGAGGAGTAGAAAGGCTTTACCAAGATCCCCCAGAGAAGGTGGGAACCTTGGTGGGACAACATTTTTCTGGAAACTCTATGGCCACAGCAGGATCAGTCTCTGAGCAGCAGCTGGGAACTGGGGGAGAAAGGGATGCAGGGACGGAAGAAGAGCCAAGTGGTCGGGTGGGTCAGGGCATCCTTGTGGGCCTCTGCAGCCTTAGCAAACTTGGTCAGCCAGGCTTAGGGGAAACATGCAGGAAAAGGGTCTGCAGGGCTGGCCACTAACCGAGAGCCAGGGCTTGAAGGCAGGATAGATGAGGTACCCACAGAGACTTAGCCACTCTCTGAGTGACCCCAGGTAATCCAACAGCAGTTTTCCCAGTGCTTTGTATCAGATGCATGCCTCAGCCTTGTGGAGCAGACATGACTGCACCCATTCTGTGGAGAAGGCTTGACTGATTTGGTCAAGGTTGTCAAATGAGTGAGAGCCGAGGCCAGATGGAATTTCAGGACAATAGGTTCCTCCCCTAGCCAGAGTTTCTCAGCCCTGTGACTAAGCACAGAGGTGTCACCTCTGCAACACAACACTGGGAGCAGAGGACAGTGTCTCTAGGAATGAAATTTAAGTAAAGAAGGGGAAAAGTTTCACCTTATGTGGTTTCTAAAGGTTAGAGTGCTTGTGGGAAGAAGGCCTGGGAGAGTTTAAAAGGAGAATAAAGAGGTAAGGAAGTTGGCTCCTGAGGGTGAGGGAAGTGGCAGTCACGGACCCTGGAGCACCATTTCCGTAGGGTCCCTGCCTGTGGCATGCATCACAAATGCGGACTCAGCACCAACACATAGTTGTCATGCCACAAGAACTGGTGAATGAATGAATGAATGAATGAATGAATGAATGCAGTATTGAATGATGAATCAAGGGTTGAATAATGAATAAATGAATGGATATTTATCTGTTGCCTCATGAATGGTCACCACCCATAGCCCACGGATCTTGAAACAAAACCACAGGAGAAGATTTTGGGGCAGGGTTATCTGTTGACCTGCAGACAGGCAGCCTTAACCATTTCTCCACCCTCACATTCAGAGACAAACGTCTGGAGAGTGGTGATCGGATAAGGACGGGCACCACCCTGGATGAGATCTGGCTTCACATCCTGGACCCCAAAGACTCAGACAAGGGCAAATACACTCTGGAAATAGCTGCAGGGAAGGAAGTCCGGCAGCTCTCAACAGATCTCTCAGGGCAAGGTGAGCCATCCACCTATGTCTGCAGAGAAACCTGCTTAGAAAAGCCCATGAACAGGCTGGGCACACTGGGTCAGTCCTGTAATCCCAGCACTTTGGGAGGCTGAAGTGGGAGGATCGCTTGAGTTCTGGAGTTTGAGGCCAGTCTGGGCAACATAGTGAGACAAGCCTGGGCAACATCTCTACAAAAAATAAAAATAATTTAGCTGGGCATGGTGACGTGTGCCTATATTCCCAGCTACCTGGGAGGCTGAAGTGGGAGGATTGCTTGAGCCCAGGAGATAGAGGCTGCAATGAGCTGTGATCACACCACTGTACTCCAGACTGGGCAACAGAGTGAGATCTTGTCTCAAAAAATAAAAGAATAATAATAAAGATTACTCTGGGATAGGCGTTAAGGAAAGAAAGATTTTAAAAAAATTTTAACAAAATAAAAAGAAAGAAAAAAGAAAATCCCATGGTCTTTTGAGGGGACGCCTACCCTCCCACCCAGTCCTGCCACTGCCCCAAAAGAACATCAGCATGGGGAGGAGAGTGGAGGACAGTCAGGGATAAGCTCTGCTCCCAGGGTCACCCTGTCCCCACTGTTGGACAGCACAGGCCCTGATGGCCCCCTTTCTCCTCTGTCCTTCTTACAGCTTTTGAGGACGCCATGGCTGAACACCAGAGACTGAAGTAAGTTTCCTCTACATTTCTCAGTGTGAATTATAGGCCCCTCCAGGGTGTGGCATGAACTAGGCTCACAACTCCTTCCCGGGAGCCCCAGCCAGCTCCACATTTCCCTCATCACCCCTCACCTCCACCTGGGCTGGACTGTCCTTTACCAACTGGACTGTCACACCTTGTTCCCATTTGTTTTTCAGAGCCTTGGCCATCATCGAGAAGAGTAAGTCTGCCGATATTTTTGTCGTTTTTGTTTCTGAATTTGGGGAAACTTCCTGGAAGCTCAAGCCTCTTGGTGGGCTGCTGAAGGCCTCGTTCCACAGTGGGGTCTGTGGGGCTCTGGGGTCTTACAGAGCTGCAGGGAAGACCTGGGCAGGACAGAGACAGAATCCAAGGACACCTGGGATTGTGTTGTGGGAGCGCCCAGTGCAAGCCTGGTTCTCACAGGCACATGGACTACGTTGGTGGGACCAAAAAGGAGGGGACAGACAGGGATGAGGCTGGGCAGGCCTTCCTGAGTGATCTGTGGGGACAGGGTGACTTTAAAGCTGAAGCTATGGCTCTCGAGGCATTAGAGCCTTACTGAATCCAGGATGAAGCCCTAAACCCAGAGGCACACGGCACGGCCTCTGGGCCACTGGGGGAGCCACTACCAAGTCCATGAGCTCAAGCTTGTCCCATTCATCAGCCTCCAAGTCAAGCCAATTCTAAGCAGCCTGGTGGTGGGAGTCTGGCTGTCTGCTCTCACTGGCCCAGCAGATGAGGAGGAAGGATTTCAGTGAGGGAGGGACCTGGGCAGGCAGCAGAGCACAGGTGTGGTCATAGAAGGAGACAGCACAGCTCTAAGAACAGACAAGAAAACTCACACCGCCAGCTTGAGGCCATGTGTGGGAGGGGATAATTCGCTCTGCATGGCATCACTGTCCCCAAGCGTCCCCACTTGACAGGAAGTGCAGGCCTCAGGCTCATAGCTGTTATCAGGAAGGGGCAATTGAGGGGTATAAGTGGCTATGCAGCGAGAAGCTCCTGCAGGGGGCTGAGGGGCGCCTCGGTGGAGGGAGCACAGCCCAAGACCAGCCTCAGGCCAGGAGGAGGCTCTTGTACCACGAATCTAATAGTTCACCCAGTGAGAATGTCCCTGCCCATCGTGGAATGCCACATCCTGAACAGAAGCCCCGTCCAGGACCCTAATAGACAAAAGCTGAATTCACCAATACTGGATTGCTGGGGTGTGTGGAATCAGAGCTGAAGGAAACGATCATTTCATCCAGCTGTGTAGGGCTGGTGACACTTTCTGCCCACAACTGCATCCATCTGTGGAGCCTTCCCCTCCCCATCCAGGGTCCTGCTCCCTTTTCACCCACTGGACAGACGCCATCCGCATCGGGCTCTTTGCACATCCCTGATCTCTGGTCTAGGCCGTGCTGACCACCCGTCCTGTTCCCACAGCTTCCCCTGCACCATGAGGAGTAGACCAGGTTTCTGCTTAGTGGTTGACAACCACACTCTTCCTGGTCACCCACAATGGCCACCAGGTCCTTTGCTTGATCAGGTTCAAAGTGTCCCAAAAACTTCTGTCCTGCTTTCTCTGATCTTGTTGGTCACACCCGTTGTGTGGGCTTTGCCAGTTGAAGTCTCAGAGTAGTCCCACTTACCTTCTTCCTGGTTCTTGAGGGCAGGAGCATCTTATGGTCCCCTCCAGGTACCACCAATCATAGCAAATGACCTCAGATCAGTGGCAGAAACACACTATGTCCCATATATTCTACTTATGAATACAAGGAAGCATGTAATACAGTTCTAGAGATTTCCATCCAAGGTCAGGTGTGGCGGCTCATGCCTTTTAATCCCAGCACTTTGGGAGGCCAAGGCAGGAGGATTGCTTGAGCCCAGGAG